TCCCTAAAGGGAGTGGAACCAACTTTTTTCCTCAATGGAAAAGGTTCTGCTCACTCCTTCTGAACGAAATGTTGAACAAAGAGTTGGAGGGAAGATGTGGCAACATGACCAAATGGAGAGGCCTCTTTGCAGATGTCTTGGAGACCTCCTCATCCATCTCCCAAAGCTCTTTTCCCAAAGGAAAAACTCCGATCAACTTTTCCTTTCTATCTCCAATCCGTGCTCAGAAATGAGTGTTGATTTAACAAAACAAACACCTCCTGCTGCCCACAAACCTCCTGCAGCTTTCCAAACCTGGGCTAGTGGAAGTTCTCCCTACTCATGGCAGTGGAACTGGATTATCTCTAAGTTCTCTTCCCACCCAACCCATTCCACGATTCCTCTGTTGTCACTCACTGCTCTGGGCAATCCCTCATGCCCAGGGGAGCTGCCCCTGGCCCCACTGACCTGCAGAGCCCCTGGGGGTGTCTCCCAGCTCACCTGCCCTTGCTGAGGCTGAGCAATGATGATCTGTCCTGGCTGGATGGTGGTGGTGGACGTGGTGGTCTGCTGGCCCTGCTGCTGCCCCTGCACCTGCACTGCTGCAGGCTGCTGGGCCAGGGTGAAGTAATACTGCACAGGCTCAGCTGGGGTCACAGCCTGGCGAACCTCCTCCTGCAGCACAGGGAAAACACAGTCAGTGGGGAGGGAACAGCAGGAAAACCCTCCCTGAGATGTCCTCCCCTCACCCTGTCCATGGGAAAGCACCTTTAGTACCTTGCTTGAGGTCAATCTGAATTAATCAATCCAAATAGTTCCTTATTTCTTTCGCTCTGTGGATATCAAATCCATTCCCAATACTCTCTGGGTGATCATGGAGTCACTCATTTTATCAGGAGAAGCAAATGAGGAGAGTTAACATCTGTTCAAATCTATGGAGCTCCTCATCAGTAAATTCCATCACTACCTGTTATCTCAGCACAGGAGGAATTGCAAATGCATCAGGAATTGCAAATGCACCAGGAAGGCTCAAAGCCTCACCTGTCTGTGCCCAACACAAACCTCAGCCTAGCTCTGATGCTAAACCCCTGGGAAGAAAAGTCATGGACTTGATAGATATTGTTGTGCCTTCAGTTGAGTTATTTAAATCCAGCTTTTCCAGCCTGCTAACAGTTTCCTGCTGTGGGTTAGCAGCTGATTCTGCTGG